AATCCTAAAGGTTATGTGAGCTTTTCACAACTCCATTGAATCAAAGTTAACCACATAAATTAATTTGGGCCTAGCGGGCTTTTTGGGTCGGATTAAAAAAATAATAATAATTCTTAATATAGCTTGTGCAAGACCCGCCCAAAAATCGAGAATTTGGGTCGAATCGGGTCCAACTTTGAGCTGATTTTTTTTTTGACAGGAACTTTGAGCCGATTTTTAAGGAAAAACATGTTCATGTATATGTGACATCTTGTTAGAATCATTTAAATAAGTAATTTCACAATATAAGTAGCTTTTATAATTTTTACTTATATAGAATTAAATTATTGATGGTTAAAGTTGTGCATCAACAAACGTGATAAAATAAACAAGTTTAGTAAAAAAGAACGGAAGAAGTAATTACCCTATTACTCGTACCTTGCGACCCAAAAAAAAAAGGTAACAAAAAAGGAGAAAGAATACAATTATCCTATATATATCACTCGTATAAGTCAAATTAAGTAAAAATCAAAGTTAAATAGATTAAAGTCAAATTACAAAATATAAGAGTCAAAACCAAAGTTAAATAATGTAAAAGTCAAATTATTGCAAGTAAAAAGAAACCGACAAGCTATAGAACTACCCTATTACTAGTGTGAACTGTTAAACATCGTCCGCAAATTCCTACATAAAGCCCACAAAATAAGAGTGAAATGACACTTTTGCCCTCAAACTAAAAAACACAATTTCTCTCTCTACTCTCTACTTCCACTTTCTCTCTCTAAATTATTTCCAGAGATATGTCGAGGCGGCCCGGCAAGGAAGTGGCGGCACCGGCGGTGGGCGGAAGGCGGTTTGCCGGCCAGAAGGTAATTTTTTAAATTTTTGTAATTTTTTTTTTTAAAAAAAAAACCTCCGGCGACGGTGGGGCGCCAAGGCGAGACGCCACCACCACGGAGGAAGCGCCTAGGCAAGACGCCCATACGGTGGTGGCGGCGCCTAGCCCAGACGCCACTACCACGGCGGCGGCGCATAGGCTAGGCGCCACGGCCGTGGTAGTGGCGTCTGGGCTAGGCGCCGCCACCACCGTATGGGCGTCTTGCCTAGGCGCCTCCTTCTCTTTTTTTTTTTAAATTTTTTTTTTGTTTTTTTTTAATTTTAAATTTTATTTTCGAATTTTTTTTATTTTTTTTTTTAAAAATTTGTTTTTCTTTTTTTTAAATTGTATGTTCCCTTTTTTTTTTATCTTTTTTTTTTAAATTTTGTTTTTTTATTTGTTTTAATTTTATGTTCTATTTTTTTTAAAAAAAAAAAATTGTTTCTGGTTTTAATTTTTAATTTTATGTTCCTATGTATTTTTTTTTTTTTTTTGAATTATATTTTTGTATGTAAAAAAATTATAAGTTCCCTTTTTTTTTTATAAATTTTCTTTAAAATTTTGATGTTCTTCTTTTTTTAAGTTTTTGCAATTTTAAATTTTTTAAGTTTTGTTAGTTTTTTGTTTTTGGTTTTTTCTTTGCATTTTTGATTTTTTGTTTTTGTTTATGTTTTTCATTTTTTAGTTTGTTGTTTATATTTTTTGTTTTTGGTTATATATTTTGTTTTTGGTATATTGTTTTGTTCATATTTATATTTTTTTATGTTTATATTTATATTTTTTATGTTTTTATTTATATTGTGTTGTTTATATTTTTATTTTTTATGTTTATAATTTTATTTCCGTTACTTGTTTATTTGCTTTTGTGTTTATTTTCGTCCTTTTTTGTATTTATATTTTTTGTTTTTGGTAATATTTTTTGTTTTTGTTTTTGTTTATGTTTGTTTTTTTTTTGTTTGTAGTTTATATTTTTTGTTTTTGGTATATGTTTATGTTTATATTTCTTATGTTTATATGTATATTGTCTTGTATATATTTATATTTTTTATGTTTATAATTTTATTTCCGTGACTTGTTTATTTGCTTTTGTGTTTATTTTCGACTTTTTTTAATTTGTTTTCGTTATTATGTTTCGTTATTTACTTGGAGTTAGGCATCGCAATTTGGACCTGGTGCGGGGAAGAGTATTGACGTCGTGAGGAGTACGATCTACTCAATGGAGAGCTCGGGGCCCAGACACGTTAGATCCCGTGGTATTTCGGCCTCGGCCCGCAGAGAACGGGTGTACTGTTCTGCGGACGATCAAGATGATGATGATGATGATGAGGAGGAGGAGGAGGAGGTCGAGGAGGAGGAGGTCGAGGACGAGGATGATGCAGATGAGGATGTCGACGATCAGAGTGGACCATATGATGATTACGGTCCATTCAGTCAGAGGCTTGATGATACGTATGAGACGCATAGGGTAGATGTGCGTAAGGGTCGAGATGGTAGGTTTGTTAGTAGATCTGGCACATCATCTACGTCCACTGTGTCTGCGGGTAGCAGAAAACGGTCGAGGGCGTGGAGTCCGCGTGTCGAGAAGAAGTCCGTTGACCGCCTGCGCTCCATACGGTTATCGCTTGACAGGATGTCCCCCTTAGAGGTACAAGGCTTCATAGTAAAAGGTAGGTGTACATCAACAAAAACTACATGGCAATTAAATTGTTCCACTGTTGCACGCGAGCATGGTACAAAGCATCCCAACCCTCCACGCTTGCTCTACGAATTTCATACCACTTCGGTATGATATGTTGGACCGGAAAATCGGGTGACATGTCTAATCGGATAAAATGTCTGTATGACGGCCCAAGAAATCCAATAGCAACGTCCCTTACCGGTCTGGTGACGGTCTCGCGCGAACACCAGGGCAGAACCGTTGTACATGGATAATAGGCTCGACTATGTAAACCAAGGCCGAAATGCATGACTGCACACTTGTAGATGTTTGCAACGGCAAAGAGATCAAGTGGCGCATCGAACCAATGATTTTGATCGCAAGGTCCCCCTCCCCACCGGATACGCTGCAGAGACCTATCCAATGGTAGCTTGCATGATCTTGCATGATCTTCCGCCACTTACCATTTACCAATGTCTCTGCTGTTACTAAATTCTTGTTGAAAAGATTGTAGGCTTTGACTTTCACGCAGTTGTTGATGTGCCATGTGCACAGTAAATGGCTCGACTCCGGAAACAGCTCCGCTATAGGGGCAAAAAGACCTCCCTCACAATCACTTACGATGGCCGATGGCTGTACATTTGGGCCGATGTAGTTTCTCAACTTTTCCAACACCCAACGGTAACTCGCAGCCGTCTCATCCTTCATGACTGCATAACCAATCAGAAAGTTCTGGTTCGTTGGAGCCATCCCAACCATCTCAACCAGTGGGAACTTGTACTTGTTTGTCTTGTACGTTGAATCGATCAAAATCACAGATGGCCAAGACGAAATCATATCAGCACAATCAGGATGGACAAGGAACAAATGAGTTACCTCCGATGTGTCTTCGTCAGATTCAAACCAGTAAAGGTAACCACGTGCTTGTGCCTGGTGCAGAAGCTGCTGTATAGGGTTCCTTCCCTCTGACCGTTCAAACCTCAATTTCTGTCTGACGTTGTAGATGTGTCTTCGGTTTGGCTGGTCTTCGGGGAATTTCTCTAACACAGACGCTAATATTTTAGCGGGCTTCACTTGAGCATCACTCATTTCTTTTACAACTAGTTTCGCAGCTGGACTTAGGCCGCTTAACTGCCGATGCCCCACTTTGTATGCTATCAGCTCATGGTTGTGATATCCCCATTTGTCGTAACCCTTCACTTCCCAACCGTCACGCCTTTGATGTTGTCGAACCTTAACTCGGAACTGACACCCACAACCTTTCCGCTTTGAGTCAAACCGAATCGCTTTACTGAAATCTCGTTCTTCTCTTTTGCGATAACGGTCGCATCTCAAAATGCGATCCATTCTACCATCCCGTTGAGATTTATGAGTTGCTACTACTAAACAAAAGCCTGATCTAATTGCAACCTGTTTTGCCCAATCAATCGCTTGTTGAGCATCTTCGAACAGGCCATCATGTACAAAAATCCCACTGTAATCATTTCCGTCTCCACCATAATCCTGTAACAATAACATATAACGTATAAATATAATTACATTAAGATTAAATTAATACACTTAACACAAAATTATCACAAACGCAATTTCTAAATTTTAAATTTCTAAATATCATTTTTATATTTAACGCATAATACATTTAAAAAACAAAATAATAACACACATTTCATTTCAAATTTATCAAACATAAATAAACAAACAAAAAAAACCATAATAAAAAAAAATAAACAAATATAAAACAAAATAAAACAAAATAAAACAAAAACAAACACAAAATAAAAGATGCATTAAAAAAACTTAATTAAAAAAAAAATTAATTCCCTCCAAAAAAAATTAAAAGGAAATAAAACAACACAAGCAAACAAAAACAAAAAAATTCCAAAAAAAAAAACAAAACAAAATAAAACACCACAAGCAAAAAAAAATCAAAAACAAATCAAAACAAATAAACAAAAAAAAAACAAAACAAATCAAAAAAAAAAACAAAAACAAAACAAAACCAAACAAAAAAAAAACAAACAAACAAATCAAAAAAAAAAACAAAAACAAAACAAACAAACAAAAAAAAAAACAAACAAACAAATAAAAAAAAAACAAAAACAAAACAAACAAACAAAAATAAAAACAAACAAACAAATAAAAAAAAAACAAAAACAAAACAAAAAAACCAAAAAAAAAAAAAGGGGATTAAATTAAAAAAAAAAAAAATAAAAAAAGAAAAACAAACAAAAATAAAAACAAACAAACAAATAAAAAAAAAACAAAAACAAAACAAAAAAAACAAAAAAAAAAAGGGATTAAATTAAAAAATAAAAAAAAAATAAAATAAATATATATTCCCCTAGTGGCGCCTGGCCAGGACGCCGGAGCCACGGCCTGGGCGCCTGGTCAGGACGCCGGAGCCACGGCCGGGGCGCCTGGTCAGGACGCCGCCGCCATGGTGGCGGCGTCCTGGCCAGGCGCCCCGGCCGTGGCTCCGGCGTCCTGGCCACGCGCCACTACCATGGTCGAGGCTTCTCCACCAGGCGCCGTTACCACGGTGGCGGCGTCCTGGCTAGGCGCCACAACCACGGCATGGCCTTTTGGCTAGGCGCCAGCCACCATTTCGTCCTTACGATGCGTTACGAACCTCGTTTTCCGATGACGACGGCGATTCTCCGGTGATCCTCGGCGATCCGGTGCTGTTCCACATTTTTTTAGTGCGAAAAATTTATCTTCGGTTAAAATTATAAAAAGGGCAAATTTGTCAAAAAATTATAAAATGTGGGCTTTATGTAGAGATTTGCGGGCGATGAATAACAAGTCCCAGTACCCTCTGACGAAAAAAACACAAATAAAAGTAACCAAAGAAAAATAAAAATAAAATCAAACGTTAAACCCTAAACCCTATTCGGAACTGTGAAATTTCAGTCCCAACCTCTTGAACTCTCCTCTGCTACTCTCTCTCACCTTCAAACCTTGGAGCTGAACTGCAACAATGGCGGCTTTAAGCTACAAGAAGAGCTACCGTACTGATCAATCATTGCAGCAGTTCTACACTGGTGGCCCCTTTACTGTTTCTTCCGACGGCACATTTCTCGTTTGTACTTGCGATGATTCTATCAAAATCGTCGATTCATCGAATGCGTCGATTAAATCCACCATTGAAGGTGATTCTGAGCCAATTACAGCTCTTGTGCTTAGCCCTGATGATAAATTCCTCTTTTCTGCTAGCCATAGTCGCCAAATCAGGGTTTGGGACCTCTCTACGCTCAAATGTATTCGTTCTTGGAAGGTATAATAATAATCATAATAATTTTCATGTTAGATTTTGATTCATTATTCTTACATATGTGTTGCTTAGTGTAATGGTTAGGTTTGTGTAATGTTTTTATACATTTGGTGTTGTGTTGTGTATGTGCGGGTAGTTTAATTAATCTATAGGGTGATTGGTGAATACTGAAATTGGTTTAATGATACCTCCGTTTCATATTATGTGCAACAAAGGCCTTGACATGGACTCTTAGATATGATTTTGTGGATGCACGCGATGAGGAGAGCGATAGAAAGAAATGACAACTCAAAAAAGAAATAAAACATTTGTTGCATATAATGTGAAGCAACCATTTTTAGTAATTGTTGCACATAATATGAAACGGAGGTAGTATTAAATTTAAAATCTGTTTGTTAGTTTGTGTTGATCTGGAATTGGCAAAAGGATTTTGTTTGTTACTTTGTCTTGGTCTGAAAATTGGATGTTACATTTTGATGAAGGGACATGACGGGCCGGTGATGGCTATGGCCTGTGATGCATCAGGAGGATTGCTAGCAACTGCTGGAGCTGATAGGAAAGTTCTTGTATGGGACATTGATGGTGGATTCTGCACGCATTATTTTAAAGGTCACAAAGGGGTTGTCACTTGCATCATGTTTCATCCTGATCCTGATTGCCTTCTTGTAAGTGCTAACAATTTTGACTTTGTGAATTAATTACTTGAGTTTGGTTTTTGGGGTGATTTTTTTTTTTTTGCTTTTATCTAGGATATTTGTTGTGTGCATTGGTCCATTTTGTAGAGTGTGCTGATATATATGTTCATTGTTTTTATATTTTGTTTTCTATTTTGAGCTTGTCCTAAGTTGCATTACCTTTTGAAGTTGCCTTAGAACCATTAGCCCTTTAGATTTAGTCTAGAATTAGTTATTACACTTGTTTGATGTTCTTTCTCCATATACTTTTAATTGCAACACTTTGCTTTTCACGTTTGCCAATGCATAGTTTTAACTATCCGTACCTTCAAATATAGATAAGTAAAAAAAAAAAATGTAAGAATTAGATATTGTGAAAGTATAAATCGAAAAAAAATCTAACAAGACGCCACATGAGAAAATTTACACTATTCACATTCTTACAGTAAAGAAGGTTAAGAGTAAGAATGTGAATAGTGTAAATTTCAAGTGATGCAACTAAAATGAATGGAGGAAGTATAATTTTTTGATGTGCTCTTGCCTCTTAGTGGGCCATATATGAGATGAAGTCGTGTGTAATTAATCAATTATGACTTCATGGCATAAAGCCATTCCTTATAAATTGCTAATATAGTAATATATATTAACTACCTCCTTTTTTTAAGTGCATCAGTTTGACGGCACATAGTTTTTATGAGTTTTCTGGGTTTTAGGGTGGGTTCTTAGTTGTACCGATAATATTCAGCCAAATGCAGGTATCTATCTTTTTTGTACTGTATATATAATCAAATGTCGTTTATAGCTTCATTATGGTGTTTGGTTTATTTTGGTGATAATCTATGAATATATTTATGGTGATTTTTATTTTCATTTTGCTCCAAAAAGGTAACTGGTGCAATAAAAAAACAAAGTAAAAAAGTAGGAGTGGGGACCATGTGAGGAGAGAGATAATAGAAATAGAGTGAAGTTGTCCAAAAAAGAGAAGTGGTACACTTAGAAAACAAGCCGATTTAGGAAAGTGATGCACTAAAAATACAGAGATAGTACGGTTGTAGTTCATGAACTTTTGGCATTACTAACTTTATTGTTCAATTTGGAAGTATGTTAGTGACAGGATTGTTCTTTTTTTTATTTTTTTTTTATTTTATTATTGTTATTGTTATTTTTTTTTTGTATGAGGTAGTGTAGCTAATTACCCCATATTCCAAGGCAATGCCCAGCTTCGAATTTTGATGTCTCCCATTGGGCTATGGAGTTTGTCCTTCTTTGGAGGTCCTAAGAGAGGGTAATCCATAGGAACATGTACTCTTGAAAAAGAATAAGGTTTTCAATTGGTTTTGGATGTAAGAGTTTATAGAGTAAATCATAAACTTTTCTAGACCATAGTGGGCTCATTCTTTTCTTTACCTTATAAAAAGTATAAGATAACTCTTAGGAATAGTGTGCTACCAATTATACCCTAAAAAATGTGTACAACAATGTGGACAAAAATGTGTATTTACCTTTTTACCCTCATTAATATGTTTGCCATCATTAATATATATATATATATATATATATATATATATATTTTTTTTTTCATTAAACATATCATCAATTAATTTAAAGTTCTTTTTTTTTTTTTTTTTTACAAAAAAGTTGTAATGCTTTTTTTTTTTTTTTTGAATAAAGAAACTTCTAATGCTTTATATTTCATATGTTATTATTATTTAAAAAGAAAAAAAACTGTATGTACGACAAGACTGTTTATTACCCAGAGACTTTATTTTTACTCCTTCGTGGTTGCACTTCTTATTTACAATCTTTTCGTCCTTTAATCGCAACTATTGTTAAGGTTTATTAGCTTTTGAAATGTACATTGTTTGAGGGCACATAAACAACGTTAGGGAATTGTAAATGCGATTCATATTAATTAGTGATATTTGAACTTAAAAATCCTTAATCAAGGAAAATCGAGAAAAAAATGGTATTAATTATGGAAGAGAAAATGAAGGAATTTAAGAGGAAAAATATAACTTAGTGGTTATTGTTTTAGTATTAGATATAGATATTAGATGGTCGTAGAACATTAAAGAACTTACATTATTAAGTTTTTAGCTGCAACATTTCACTTATTACTACTCCGTATGACCTAAGCTCACAAAATATTCATCTGAAGAAAACCACGCTAGAAATATTATACTAAGTATTATTGAAACATGCAAATCAATAAAGAGTTCTTAAATAACAATTGCCCCTTAAGGTATGAAGGGTTAATAATATTATATGAAGGGATGCAAATTAATTAACTATTATTTAATAATAATTTTGGAATAATATTGTCAAACTTTAGAGGATCTTAATAAGTAATCGTCATAAAAGATTTTGGTGGATTTCAAACGCACATAAACCAAATAGTATTAAAACTACCAACCAAACCAAAGGTGTAAACACACGCCAATACAACTTCTCCGCAAGAGCTAGCCCCTGATGCGCGCAGGCCACCCTAGTTATGAAAAAGTTGGTATCTGACTTTTTAGATGTGTGTAGGTGGCTAGGTGCTTTGAACAGGGGACAAACACTTTTGTTTGTCTAAGTGTTAGTGGCATGGTTTTGACACGTTGGGATGGGGCTTGAAGCCTTGAATATGTGTGAGATGTATGCATGGATGTAGACTTGTTCCAATATGTCTCATCCTTTGATGGTGCTAAACTTTTTGATTTTTACTGTCTTGGCTTGTAAATCCTTTCAGTCATTTGTACTACTGATATTATTATATTTGTTGGAATTTTCTTGTTTCAAGGCATATCTTTTTAGTGCTTGTTTTCTGTATATCTTGCATGTCTTAATTTAGTATTTGGCGTTGTTTTACAGCTTTTCTCTGGAAGTGATGATGCATCTGTCCGGGTTTGGGATCTTATCACTAAGAAGTGTGCTGCAACAATGGAAAAGCATTTCTCTGCAGTAGTTTCCTTGGCGATGTCTGAAGATAGAAGGTTCTTACTTAGTGCTGGAAGAGATAAGGTTTGCTTCCTCCTATTCCTGTTTGATAATTGGAATTCGAAGTTATTGAGTCCTTTTATTTGCAAGTCCACCAGTATTGCGGATTTTCAGTTCGTCGCTATTTAAAAAACTAATTTTAGTAATTTATTGTGCCTCTTGTTTTCCATATATACTTTGAGCTAAAAGGTTAGTAAAAGAATTATTGATACCCTTATTCAAATGTAAATACATTTCTTCCAATTACAGGTGGATTTTATAGATTCTGAAAAGTAATTTTTAGCCATGAGCTATAAAAAAGAACCTATTGGGCTTAAAAAAAAACTCAAATTGAATATGTTAATAGTGTTTCTACTTTTGACTTGTTATCTTCAATTTATTTCGGAAACTTGTTAGTAATTCTCGTCAGAAATATTCAGATAAGAAATTTTGATTTCCATTTTTATTGCTAAATTTTTTTTAATTGCGTGTATATAAAAATTATGAAAATTATTAAGTTCGCTTTAAGACAATTCAACAAGACCGCACTTGATAATATTGTCTTTTAGACATTAGTCTAAAAATACGGTGAAAGTTTAGTTACACGAGTACATTAGACCACTGGAGAAATTTATATCACGCAGATTAGACCTCATTGAATCAAACCACAACACCTTATTTCATGTGAAGAGAACAAACCCTTTATTATTTAGGAAATTTATCAATGATTGTCTTGCGTGTAGATTTATCCATGATAAATGCATGCAAGTCTTATGGTCTCTCAGTCGGTTGCCTTTGTATACGCTTCAGGCTTTTCTTAACGCATTAAATTCATCATTCATGCATGAAAGTAAAGTTGTCAATAAGTTGAATCGTGTCGTTTTCGTGTTTGGTCTCTTGTCAATTTCGTGTTGTTCACAAAATCTATCAAAAACTATGTAAAATATTGGATAATTGCATAATTTTACCATTTTATTTAAACAGGGTGTGTTCGGGTTGGTTTCGTGTCGTGTTGTATTGACTTCGTGTTTTTCTCTCAGTAACTTCGTATTCATGTTGTGCCGGTTTCCGGTTGTGTTGTCGAAAGAGCCTTTTCAATCAATAATTATATACTAAAAGACACACCAGCAATGACGCGTGTCATCTTCTGGTTTGTCCTTAGTTTAGGTTTTTTTATTTTTTTTATTTTTTTATTTATTTATTTATTTATTTATTTTTTTATTTTTTGATATAATTCTATTAAAAAAACAAATCTTATACTAAAATAGTTTCTAATCTTATAAAATAAAATTACTTAAAATAAAAAATATTTGACATATCTTTAATCTTTAATACTAAAAGATACACCAGCAATGACACGTGTCATCTTCTGATGTGTGCTTAGTTTAGGTTTTTTTTTTTTTTTGAATAAAATTCTGTAAAAAAATAAATCTTATACTAAAATAGTTTATAATCTTATAAAATATAATTACTTAAAATAAAAAAGATTTGACATATCTTTAATACAAATATTTGTATAGCTACGAAGTATAAAAATATTCTTAACATAATTTTGATAATTTTCTATGTCATTTTATATCTAACATATCTTTCGTAATCCTTTATTTTGATTGAAATTTGTCAACTATATTTTTAAATTTTTTTGTTTATAAAAAACTAATTATAATAATATTTTAATAATAGTTATTGAAAATTACCGTGCATGGCACGGGAACTAACCTAGTTGTTTACAAGATATAGACCATTCAATTATGGTGTTTATGGCTGCTCGTGAGTTCTCATGTAAAAAACTAAAATTGGTTTTAAATGGAATCTTCACCGACTTTTGTTTTAGTCGTAAATTCATATCAATCTAAAAAATGTGGAGGTCTTGCTAAGTAGCAATTGAATGTCCTAGACTTCTAGGGAGTTGTACTTCATACTTGATTGTTTGTGATTGATATTCCTTTCACTCTTCAAACTTTGGTAACTTCATCAATGTGTTAGACATCTTAATCATAGAGATAGATATGTTCTCTTCACCTGAAGTAAGGTGTTTTGGTTTGAAAAAATAGGTTTAATCTGATTGTTTGACTATTTGACCATATTTTTACACTTATGTATAAGGGAAAAAAACATTATCAAATGGATTCTTGTTTAATTCATCTCAAGGTGCATTTCCAAATATTTAATTTTCATAATCTTTGTATGAGTATGCAGTTACAGTCTTACAGATATTTTATTATGAAGTAAATGGAGATAAGAACTAATGTTCTGAGTGTTTGACAAGAATTACTTATAAGGTTCTAATATAAGTTGAAAAGAATAGGTCCTTAGTTTGCATAAGGGGGTGGTGAAGCAAGATGAAATCTTAATTATTTTAACTGTTGAAGACAATTCAGAAAAGTCTTGCTGAAAACTCACAAAGTCAAATACCTTAAAAATCTGATTTATGATTTGAAAATATAAGTTCATGATATAAAGAAAGCAGATTTCTTCACAATTTGCTGAAGTCTGATGTTTTGGTCCTGACATTTATATACTCCAGTATTATTCTTATTCTTACCCTACTAACTTACAGTAACTACTTCTTATAAAACTTGTGTCTGGGGGGAGGCTTTGCAGTTGATGCGCTCAACTTTATGCCTTTAACTGAAAAATTGCTCTTTTGGCTTGACCCAACAATTGCTTAGAGTGACTCCAATGGTTGAAAAAGGGACTTGTTTGCAATCATTAAAAATTCCAAACTATTAGCTGCACCATGGTTGCACATCTTGCTAATTAGCTTGGCACTTATTAATTAGATTAATATTATTTAAAAATTTTTAAAAAAAATTAATTAACTAGCTTAAGTTGCTTAACCATTGGAGTAGCAAGAAGATAAATTAGCTTGGGAAAATAATAGGGCATAACAAGTTAGAAGATATATTAGCCAACCCTGGATGCTCTTAGAGACTACATGCATCCTAGAACTGAGGCAAGTGCTCTCGTACAACTATAAAATGAGATGTTAAATTTAGATTCAATCATCTGGTTTAAAGCAATTTCCTAACTTCGTTTACTATCAACTCCATATATTTAGTTACCTTGATGTTTATTTATGAAATAAATCTGTTTAGAAAGTAGATTGTGTGGTCGTTGCTAAACTATGTTCACTGAAAATTGTTTTGGAGATTCAGGTTGAATTTTTGCAAGCCAAGTTGCAACTTTTATGCTAAGTTCATTGCCTGAGCATAATCACTTGAATGAGAAAATATTGTGTTGATAAAGAACTTTGACCTGCTATGTGGCTCTTAAACTCCCACCTCTTGATATTTGATCCTTATTTATATATTCTATCTGTTCATTAATCTTTGTCAAATTTCTTTTTTCCGATGTTCCTATTTTGTTATCAGGTATCTAATACTAATTTAAGGAAATTTATAGGTCCAAAAAGTTGAATAATTTTGTTACAAAGTATGTATAAGTAATTCCTCTTTAACCAAATACACCAAAAGATTGCTGCATGACCTTTTTCTTAGTCACCCCAGAATACAATAAAAGCTCCTTGATAGAATAAGGCAAAATCCATGAGTACACCACACAACAAAATCCTCTTAAGAAATTGATACAGAAGGAAGATGTGCTAAACTGGATTTAAAGACAAGTTTGGGAGGCGTAATAATAATGGTGTCATTATATTTTTCTTACATGAAACTTGACAAATCATTGGGCAGTGAAGGAGTATTGTAACTCTTTTACTTTTCTCACTTACACATTGAAGAATCATTATGACTCCCCAGTCTTTAGGGAAATGAATAAAGCATTGAGACGTGATACATTACGATGCTATGTAACCCCTAATGATATATGCTGGCTTGCGCTCTATCTTATCAACTTGTGAAGATCTGGCTGTAATCTTAAATGTTATATGTGCAGTTTAATGACTTTGGAAATTACTGTAGGTTGTTAATGTGTGGGACCTTAAAAGCTATGGATGCAAGACAACCATACCGACATATGAGGTGCTTGAAGCTGTTTGTGTTATTAATTCCGGAACTGTATTCTATGACAGTTTGTCATTACAAAGGCCTAAGAAGAGCAAAAATATCATGCAAGAAGTTTATTTTTTAACTGCTGGTGAACGTGGGATTATCCGAATATGGAGCACTGAAGGGTAATTTGACAACTTTGTTGAGTTATTTCCTGCATTACTTTTTAGCATTAATTATTTATATATATAGGCAGGTTTTACTTTTCAATTCATTGATAATATTACTTATAATCTACTCATCCTCTTTCTGCTACAGTGCATTTTGTTTATTTGAGCAGAAGACTTCAGATGTAGCATTTAGTCCAGATGAAAATGATTTAAGAAGAGGTTTCACTGCCGCCTGCATGCTACCCTCAGATCAAGGATTGCTATGTATTACTGCTGATCAGCAGTTTCTTTTTTATTCCCCCTTGAAGCATTCTGAAGAAGATCTGTGTTTGAGTCTCTGTAAGAGGCTGATCGGATACAATGAAGAGATAGTAGATATGAAGTTTTTAGGTGAAGATGAAAACTTTCTTGCTGTTGCCACCAACCTGGAACAAGTAGACTCTCTTCTACTTCCTTATTTTTTAGTTAGGAGATGATGTGTGTAATATTAATCTATTGATCCTCTATAATTACAGGTACGGGTATATGATCTTGCTTCAATGTCATGCTCCTATGTACTTGCTGGTCATACCGGGATCGTTTTGTGTCTTGACACCTTCACGACAACTTCTGGAACTATGCTTATTGTAACTGGCAGCAAGGACAATAGTGTAAGTGGCCATTCATTGTTTATTTCGGTAGTTTGTTATTGGTTGCCCTTTGCGGAAAAATAGGAATTAAGTAAATTAACTAAAGTTTCTTGATGGTTATGTAGACAGTAGAGACTTTCTATGGGCTAGCTGAACAGCTGATGTCCTCTACTCACTTCCATAGACCTATTTTTATTTTAATTTAATATTGGTACTTGTTACTGTACAGGTCAGATCATGGGACTCAGAAAGCAAAATGTGTTTAGGGGTTGGCAATGGTCATACAGGAGCTGTTGGAGCTGTTGCTTCTTCAAAGAAATTGCGGAACTTTTTTGTTAGTGGTAGTAGGTGAGTGTTTACTTGTATTAATGTCATTTTGCTTTCCATTTAATTTTTCTGTCACTTTTGCTTATTTGTACTAAAGTAGTTGATGAACTTTATGTCCGGATTCATATACTTGTCCCTAACTTTTGTGTAATGGTTTGCTCATGTCGTGTTGTCTCAGAGCAAATAAAAATTATGATTCAGCCAACCAATGCTGATATGTTTAATGTCCCATTGAAGCTTCATGAGGCATGCAATAATAATCTGGCAATGGATGCTGAAAAGTCATATTACTGTTTAACTAGAATAAACAGTCAGCATGCAGTATTTTGGAGGATATAACGATCGAATTTTTGCTCAAACTGGAAAATTTATGTTTTTGATGTGATAAGCTGTTCACTGTGGCTACTTACTTACCTTTGCTTACAAGCTCAGTCCCCCCACCTGTATCTCTAGTCTGTCATTAATATTCAATGTTCTCGCATATGAGAACCAAGTATTGTGGATTGTGATCGTCTTTGTCTGCTATTGTTAACTTTTAGTGAACTTACCATTTTTTGTATCATATAAAGTATTAACTACTGAACACTTTGAAGTATCCTTTATCCCTACCCGGTTTGGTTGTATAAAGAGTTGTGCATGGAGGTCTGTGATTTTTTATGGGTGAACACTATGGCTAATGCTTAGAAGATTTTACTAAATGCTTGTATATCTAATATCCAACTTTGGAGAGAAATTTGATGAGTCGGAATCTGATATATGTCGATGTGGTCATGTGTATATTGTAGACTCTTGCTTGAATTTAGTATGATAATTGGAGGGTCAGGAGAGAAGATTATGGTTATGAAAATTAGAGCAATAAACTATTCATATGATCTTCTATTCACAGTATGAGTTTTTTGAATTTGTAGTGACCGTACAATAAAAGTGTGGAGCATTGAAGGACTTGACAGTGTTACTGAAGAGCCTATCAGCCTTAAAGCAAAAGCTGTCGTAGCAGCCCATGATAAGGATATCAACTCACTTGCTATTGCACCATGTGACAGCTATGTTTGTAGTGGTTCTCAGGTAAAGAACAGCCAGAATTTGTACATGTATTTACTATTAATTGGTCAAAACTCATAATAATTTGTGACATTAATCATAATAAGAAACACAGTCAAAATTGTACATGTAATTACTATCAGTTAGTCAAACTCTTAATAATTTTTGACATTAGTTCAGGGTCAAAGATGAAATATAACAGAGATACTCTCATATTCTTTGGATGAGTGATTGTGGAAGTGTGACTTGTAGTGAGTTGTTTCAAAGTGGGTAAAATGAGATGGTATTGCAAAGAGGGGTTCTGGATGGGAGTAAAGCTGCAACAGTATGTTGATGTGTAAGGCTCTGCCTGTTGAAAATTTCAGCTTGATCAAGATAATTGATGGCTATAAATTTTTCTTTCAAGCATCCTTTTTCTTTCCATTTTGCTGTCAAATGATTCTGAATTTTGCCCTACGATTTTTCCATAAAATCTTGATTTTTTTTCCACTCCTTATTAGCTAGATTCAAACAGAATCATTATGTGGAAAAAAGCAATATCCGACATAACTCATGACAATATGGAAAATGAGGTCCTGTGGGGGTGGGGTTTTGTGTGTGTGTGTGGGGGGGGGGGGGGGGGAGGTTATTGTTAAATACCAATCAGTTGTTCATGTCCTTGTGGTTGTAAAATTGATGCACTGCTTGATGAGATTCTGTTGTGAGGCCTCATGTCTTTCCTATTGGAGTTAATGGAACACTTTCTTTGCCAGCCAGAAAAAAAAAAGAAAAAAGAAGAAAGAAAAGAAATGTGGGTGTGATTTGCTGCTTACACAATCAATATGTTGTATTTGGTTATTTGGTTTTTTGTTTATGGACCAAACTCAGAACGGTAAGGTAATTTTCTTTTATGCAGGATCGCACTGCCTGTATATGGAAGCTTCCAGACCTTGTGTGTGTTGCAAAACTCAAGGGCCATAAACGAGGAATCTGGTCTGTAGAGTTTTCTCCTGTTGATAGATGTGTGTTGACAGCATCTGGAGATAAGACATTAAAAATGTGGAGTCTTGATGGTTCATGTCTAAAAACATTTGAAGGACATACATCTAGTGTATTGAGAGCATCTTTCATCACCCGTGGGACTCAATTTGTTTCGAGTGGTATGCAGGCATTATCTTTCTTAGTCTCCTGAGAAGTTGTTTTGTTTATTCCATAACTAATATGGGGCCTCTTTTCCAGGTGCTGATGGATTACTGAAGCTTTGGACAGTAACAAGTAACGAATGCATTGCTACTTATGATGAACATGAGGACAAGGTTCTGTTTCTTTTCACGTTTAATTTTTCTTTGCATATTGGAGTTATTACTGAGTTTTGTTGCCCTGTAAAATTTAACAAGCTTCTTCTAAATGACACACTGACACTTTCTATACAAATTGGTTGATTATATATATACTTTTGTCTCTTTGTGGTTGGCTTTATGGGATGGGAAATGTGTACAGATTTTAGGGACACTTTTGGAGGAGGTGGAACAGCCTTTTTCCTGTTCCTTCCATCTTCTTCCTCTATACATTACATGAAGCCCTGATTTAGGAGTATCTGACGAGAAAGAGTGATGTTCTTTCATGAGTTTCACTTTTTAAGCCAATCCTTACGAGTGCAAATTATGGCGAGCTAATTTACTGGGGGTTCTAACAGAGTTATAATTCAAATTTTCTCCTCTTAAAAGAGTGACTTAGATTTCATGTATTTTTTTCACTCCAAATGCGTCTACTTTCTTAAAGTTTGTATATTTTCATCTCCATTCTAGAAGTGTAAGGCACTTTCTTAGACACCTTGTTGGGGAAGGCTCCAAAGACCTTGCAATTTGCAAATGAATATAAGTATATATATTTGATGGGCAGAAAAAAGGGCCTTTCTCCTGAAGAATGTCTCTTTATTTACATAGTCATGTAACTTGGAATTACCTCTTTTGGCATGTGGGTTGGATATTTGGTATTCCATACCATATTGTTTTACGTTATGGGAACGTAGTAGCTTACCACATTGCCTGCCTTATATCTTGTGAGCTATAGTGATCTGTTTGGTTGCAGTACTTTATGGTATCTTTCCCCATCTCTTTGTAGAATGTGTTTGAGGTGTGGTATTCCTATATATTTGGATTTTCCTGTGCTACTAAGCTGTAGTTTTTGCATGTCTTTGTCAATTAGATTTGTAACGCTCCTCATTGAATCTATTTGTGAGCTTCAGGTATGGGCCCTGGCAATTGGAAAGAAGACAGAAATGCTGGCTACAGGAGGTGGTGATGCAGTTATTAATATATGGAATGATTCAACTGCAGCTGAAAAGGAAGAGGCTTTTCGTAAAGAGGTGTATTTTCTGTAACTTACCATGTGTGGCATATAAAGTAAAAATTAATTCTTAGTTAATCTTGTCTGTTTGATGTCATTGGATTGATCTAGTTTCTAGAACAGCTAAGTGTCTTTATATTTTTCTTTTAGTTCTGATTGTCAATGATGTTCTTTGATCAAACTTCATATGCCTATCAGTTGAGTTTTTCTATGTCTGCTGAGACCTGGTGCTGCATCTTATAATTAGATGTATGAACTGTCCAGTTGCTCCCTCCTCATCCTATTGTAACTCTCTTTTTTCCATCCATAAAACTTAAGATTTTCACCAGCTGTCTTTTTTTGGTTTTTCCTTTTGACTGCTTTACTGATACTTGTTTGTGTGTTTAATAAAAAGCCAGCTTTGACATTGCATGTCTTTTTTTTTTGTTTTTTTTTGGTAGCTTTTCCTACTATATAACTGTCTTATGAGTCAATTGTGTTCTTAATTCAGGAAGAAGGGGTTTTGCGTGGTCAAGAGCTTGAGAATGCAATATCAGATGCTGATTATTCTAAAGCAATCCAGATTGCCTTTGAGCTTAGGAGGCCTCACAGGCTATATGAACTTCTTTCTGAACTTTGCAGGTTAGTTACTTGTATGCCCTAATATGCCTGGCATACAACATTAATCCCTTGCTTATTTGAGGTGTTAAATAATGTGTTTGTGCACACATTCTGATATTCTATCTACATTGTCATTGTATCTCCAATATATTCATAGGAAAAAAGATGCCGTCGATCATTTGAAGAAAGCTCTTTTGCATCTTGGGAAGGAGGAAATGCAACAACTTTTTGAATATATTCGAGAGTGGAATACCAAGCCAAAGCTGTGTCACAATGCCCAGTTTGTGCTTTTTCAGATTTTCAGTATGCTTCCCCCTACGGATATTGTTGAGGTGGGTAATCTTATTGTGAGACATTTTCATTTTCATTGAATCTGGGCTGGGTACAAAGAAAATTATGCTTGAGCTCCTAGTTATTAATAAAACATTATTGGTCTCAAGCACAAGTAATCCTTCCCCCCCCCCCCCCCCCCCCCCCTCTTTCAATCGAAGCCTTAATCATCTTTGTGATCATTAATACTCCCTCCGTTCCCTAGTAATTGACACAGTAAAATTTGACACACTTAACCCTAAATAATAAATTTTATAAAAAGCTTGATATTATGAAACTTCGTTTTAATATATACTTAACAACATATTTACATAATAACATTTGTTTATAATATCTTTGTAAAAGTTATAGTCAAAGTTAAGCATATGAATATGCAAGGAATCAGCCCAAGACTGATGTCCGTTTTACTTATGCTAGAAGGCCCAAGAAATAATCAGAGAAGAGTTACTTGCTTAGCTAAAGGTTTGCTTGAAATCAGATTTGGGGAAGAGGGTAAAATAGGAATTTTGGAATAAGTTAGTTATTGAGTTTGTTATTTGATTCCTTTTGCTAGCTGCTTCTAGAGTTTGTTAGCTGCTTCATTTTTGGGTATTAATAGGATTCTGGGGTCAGGGGGAATGCATGCAGAAAAATTGTTAAGAAGTTTGTTGTGGAGAGACCCTTCCTCTTGAAAGAACGTATTGTATTGTAAGTTACTCTGATTTGCAATACAAATATCCCTTGGCTGCCATTGTTTCTCTGTTTTACAGCTTGAATCTCTCTGTTCTATACTAAAATCCTAGCAGAATAGTGAAAAAAGGCAACATGTGTTAATTATTATGGATAGGAGGGAGTAATAGTTTTGTTGTTATAAAATGCAATGTGCACAAACTGGAGCTAAAAATACACCAAACTCTAGAAAGTGTTACCAATTCATTGTATCAAAGGATTGTCAAATCTTAAACTTATAGCGTGTTTGGATTGAAGGAGATGGAGGGAAAGGAAGGGAAGATAAATGGAGGGGTGGAGTATTTTTCATTGGTTAACAAATGAGGAAGGAAGAGAATTGAAGGGGAGATAATGGAGGGATGAAATTTAAAGAAATTGATCCCTCCAATTTGGAAGGAAAACTCATCATTCTTCCCTCTCATCCCTTTCCCTTCCCTCCCACTCCCCTACCGCCCCTCTTTTCCTTCCCCTTTCTTTATCCAAAACACACTGTTAGTGTTACCTTAATACTAGGGGATTCTTGAGTGTATCGTGCGTTGGTGTCAAAGCAAGATGTCAATAGTACGTTATTGTTCTGAATCCACTGTAGCCAACAATGAATATGTTCTATAGGTGTTTGAATTCAGATACAAATGAAATGGAATATTAACTCTATTTCTGTTAAATTGCTATTGAATGGTCTTGGATGTACAATGTACAGGTGAAAGGCATAGGAGAACTTCTTGAAGGGCTCATCCCTTATTCCCAGAGGCACTTTAGCAGGATTGATAGGCTTGAAAGAAGCACATTCTTGTTAGACTATACACTCATTGGCATGTCAGTTATTGAGCCCGAGGGTGAAAGAAGAAATATAGAAAACAACTCTGACAAGAAAGTAGATAAAGAGGACATATCCAGTGATCCAGTGGATGCAAAAAAAGACTCTGCATCCGAACCAGCTGTGGAGACACAGCAGAAAAAGGGCTCAAAAAAAACGAAAATCTAAGAAGTCTTCAGAGGTTTCTAACAAGAAGGTTAAAAATGTACCTACAACAGAATCTTCAGCTGTATCATTACAAGCATAATGCTGCTAATTTGCTTTTTATTTGTTCTAAAACTAATTGTAAAGATACCTCGTAAAATATTTTCATTTATAGTTTATTGTTGTGTACAAAATCACAATTTTGTAGCTGTAGCAATGGGATTTTGTAAGAGTCTGTATGCAAGAGTTATTGTCCCCAAGTTTCTTACAAGATCAAGTTATGTCAAGAATGATTTACTAGTGTGTGTTACACAGTGTGTGTGTTGGGGGGGGGGGGAATTCCGGAAAATAGTATCATATATTCATATGTATGAATTGATGAATGTGATTTGTTCCAATTTTTAATCTAAGGATAAAATTTCAATTTTATACACAGTTGTCTAAGGTATTGTTGCAATATTAATAGAACGGAGGAAGTATATATATATATATATATATATATATATATATATATATATATATATATATATATATATATATATATATATATATATATTAGAAGATAAGTCTAATAAGGTGAATGCCAATTATTGATTTGGTTGTACAATGCACATATAGGTCCAAACACTTGTGAACTCATATGACTATGTGAGTAATTATTGTACTCTTATAACTCATGGCTATATATATAATGCCATGTAAGTGTAAAGTGACACAAGCAAGAATATAACCGTAGCACCACTACAATTTCACTTCTTACTTCTTCCTTCATTGATTAAAAAACTTTCTGTCGGTAAAATCTTTAACACGTTATCAGTACCAATTCCTATTCAGGTATATTTGTACATACTTCTCAAAATTATAACAAATAAACACTATCTACTTCTAAATATTTTGAAGAGTATGCTCTATAGTTGCCCATTTGGGATTCTCTATACCAGAAACTCAAACATTTACTGTATCAAAACAACGGTGGAGAAATTCTCTTATTTATGAATTAATTACTATTCTCCCTTGTTTTATTCATGTTGATGTTTTTGTTTGATTCATGCACGTTGATATTACATGCTTATCTTTTACGAAAAATTTGATTTTAGTAATAACTTTGCATGCATATTATTAACTAAATTGACAAAAAAAGATGCAGCCTTTTTATACTTATTATTTTTCTTTCTTTTACGTACTTTTTGTGTTTCTTTCCGTTTTTGAACCCATGATTTTTTATAGAGGTTAGGGCTCTTGGACCACTATGGCTTGCATTCCCAGTGTGATAACCTTTTACAATTATAAATACTTATATTTGGACCATAATTTTGCCAGTATATTAAACTATTATATGATATTCTTACAATTGTACAAAACAGGAACGGATAAACCTACCTCTATGAAAGACAGATTTTCCCCTGATTTTCACCACAAATCCCTTATCCTTTCCCATTTTTTTTTTCTTTATCCAAAAATCACCCAAAATTTTTCACCCCTTCTTCTCCAATATGTTCCCCGACGGCAACCAAAACACCCACACTTTCACCTTTGAGGAAGATTTAAGGAAGATAAAACAATATTTTCTTCTAATTATGGCACTTGTAGTTCTGTTAGTAGCAATATTAATTTTTGTCATAATGTACAAGTGAAGTTTGTTTATTTTGTCGTTTTAATAGATTAAAAATATATTTTTGTTTTATTATGTTGTTTTGTTGTTATTAATCATCATTGTATAATATTACCGTTATTATAATTATTATTACTACTGTTGTTGTTGTCGTTTTGCTATTTATGCAACTAATATGATTTATTTTTTCCTAATTATATAATTACTCACAATAATAAACCAAGAGGGAGAAAGAACTATATTATTCATGGTTTATTATAGTTAAATAAATTTAATTATCACGTGTTTCATTAACAAACTATAATATGGAAGAATTAAACATATGTGTTGTACATATGATTTATTATTATAAACTAATTATCACGTGATTTGTCTTAGTTAAAATGAGAGATCTTATGAAAAGACAATTCAGCATCCTAGATTTATCTGGAAAGAAATTTTTGGAATGCAAAGTAGATACCATGATGAATTTAAAAGCTCAAGGGTTGGAGCACACTGTTAAAGATAGTAAAAGTCCCTCTGGTCAAACAACTGATACTACCACTTCTGCAATGACAGTTGAAAAACTTGTTACTGAACAAGAAAAGGCAAAAGCCTTAGTGTTACTAAGGCATCATTTACATGAAGGCCTTAAAACAGAGTACATGATGGTTGAAGATCCCAAAGAATTATGAGATTGCCTTAATGAAAGATTTGGACACCACAAAAGGGTGCTCCTTCCTAAGGCATTATTTGATTGGACAAATTTACGATTCTAGGATTTCAAATCCGTAGTTGATTACAATTCAACCATACATGAGATAGTATCTATATTGAGATACTGTGATCATCCAGTCACCGATGAACAAATGATTGAAAAAACACTCACTACCTTTCATGCAAGCAACATATTGCTGCAAGAACAATATCGTGAAAGAGGTTTTAAGAAGTTTAATGAATTAATGAGTGTATTGCTTGTTGCGGAACAAAATAGTGATCTTTTGTTGAAAAATCATAATCTTAGACCAACTGAGTCTTTGGCCACTCATCATGAGGCAAATGCAACAAGCTCTTATCCACCCGAGGCAAATGCTGCACGAAGAGGTGGACGTGGAAATTACAATGGCCGTGGAAGAGGCCGTAGAAATTATCGCGGACGAGGCCGAGGATGTGGTAGAAATAATTTTCAAAGAAACAGTAATTTTGAAAATTTTGAAAAACAGAAGGGATAGTCATCTGGAAGCCACAAACAAACCCTTTCAAAAGGAAAAGACACATGTTACAAATGTGGCATGATAGGGCATTGGGGACGTACTTGTCGTACGGCCAAACATTTGGTAGACCTTTACCAGGCTTCTGTAAAAGGCAAAGAGAAAAATGCAGAAGCAAATTATGTTAATGAAGAAACTGCTCCATGTCCTACCCTTGATGTGTCCGATTTTTTCATGGACAATTCTGAAATTGGAAATGATTTCATCTTTGGAGAAAATAACAATGCTTAAATAACCCATCTACTAATGTAATATATACCATATTTTAATGTATTTTCTGTTATGTACTGTACTTTAAATGACTAGCCATGTACTTTTTATTTCTATCATCAATAAAAGTTTGTATGATATTATTCTAAACTAATCTCATATTTATTTTATGAAGATATGGATATGCCTGAAGTTGTTCCAAATATCAGTGCCTTTTGGACAGTGGAACAACACACACTATCTTGAAGGATAGAAAATGTTTTTCACAACTAAAGTTGTTTCAGGAAAATGTAAACACTATTTTTGGGTCAGCAAAATTAATTGAAGGATCTGGAAAGGCTTGTATAATGCTTCCAAATGGAACAAAATTGATGATCAATAACGCGTTATACTCGAGTAAATCTCGAAGAAATCTCATATGTTTTAAAGATGTGCGCCAAAATGACTATCATTTAGAAACAATGACAACGGGTCAAAAGGAGTAATTACGCCTTACGACAGGAAAATATGGCAAGAAACACATTTATGAGAAATTGCCAGCATACTCTTCGGGGTTATATCGTATAAACATACGACCCGTGGAAACCAATATGATATCTAACCAGAAGTTAGATGACAAACATTTGATTATTTTATGGTATGATCGTTTGGGACATCCAGCAACTGGGATGATGCAAAGAATAATAGCAAATTCAGTTGGACATTCAATAAGAAATGTCAAAATTCCTCGATCGGATGAATTGACATGCTCTGCATATTCACTTGGCAAATTAATAATAAGACCATCTATGAACAAAATTGCTATTGAATCTCCAAAATTCTTGGAAAGAATTCAGGGAGATATTTGTGGGCCAATTAATCCGGCATGTGGACCATTTCGATATTTCATGGTTTTAATTGATGCTTCTACACGATGGTCACATGTCAGTTTGCTTTCAAGCAGAAATGTTTCCTTTGCAAATTACTTGCCCAAATTATCAAATTAAGAGCACAATTCCCGAATCATACAATAAAGAAAATAAGACTCGACAATGCCGGGGAATTTACATACCAAACATTTAATGATTATTGTATGTCAATTGGAATTGATGTTGAACACCCAGTAGCTCATGTTCATACACAAAATGGTCTAGCTTAATCACTAATTAAGAGATTGCAATTGATTGCAAGACCATTATTAATGAGGTCAAAATTGTCATCATCAGCTTGGGGACCTGCTATAATACATGCAGCGGCACTAATTAGATTGAGACCTACAGCTTATCATAAATTCTCACCACTACAACTTGTTTGTGGTCGAGAACCAAGTATCTCACATCTAAAAATCTTTGGTTGTGCTGTATATGTTCCCATCGCTCCACCCCAACGAACAAAAATGGGTCCACAAAGAAGGCTGAGAATTTATGTTGGGTTTGAATCCCCCTCTATAATTAAATATCTTGAACCATTGACAGGTGACTTATTTACGGCTAGATTTGCCGACTGTCACTTTAATGAAGCAGTATTCCTAGCCTTAGGGAGAGAGAAAGTGGACCCACGCAAGAAAGAAATAGAACTTATTTGGAATGCAACACTAGTGTTGATGTTAGACCCACGAACAAATATGTGTGAACAAGAAGTCAAGAAAATTGTTCATTTACAAAGTGTTGCAAATCAATTGCCTGATGCATTTGTAGACACAAAGAAGGTGACAAAATCACATATACCAGCAGAAAATGCCCCTGCACATATTGAAATCCCAACTGATAATAAGGCCATTGAGAATGAATCTCAAGCATGAAAAAAGCGTAGGAGACCACTTGGTTCAAAAGATTCTAAGCCAAGGAAATTGAAAAGATTGGATGGAATAGAAAATGAGACTAATAATGTTCCCCCGTCAAATGGTCAAGAAAGACCAAATGTGGATGAAGTAAAGAAAATGATGATAATCCAAAGGGGACGAACAAGAAGACAACCCTACGGGAAATGAACAAGATGTTCAAAACGTCGATAACAATGAAATTTCAATGAATTACGTCTCTACCAAGACTCATTGGAATAGGAAAGATGTTATCGTGGATGAAATATTTGCAAATTCCATCGCAATCGACATTGTGTCTAATGAAAATGATGTTGAACCAAGAACAGTGGAATAATGCTGACACAGGAGTGATTGGCCAAAGTGGAAGGAGGCAATGCTGGCTGAGTTGAAGTCACTTGAAAAACGAGAAGTTTTCGGAAAAATAACTCTTACACCAGCAGGTGTAAAACTCGTTGGATACAAATGGGTATTTGTGAGAAAACGTAATGAGAAAAATGAGATAGTTAGATACAAGACAAGACTTGTAGCCCAAGGATTTTCTCAAATTCCAGGGATTGATTATGAAGAAACATATTCTCCAATAGTTGATGCAACTACATTAAGATTTCTGGTAAGTTTGACAGTCACAAAGGGACTGCAAATGTGATTAATGGATGTAGTGACTGCGTATTTGTATGGGTCACTCGATACAAACATTTACATGAAAGTCCCCGAAGGAATAAAACTACCAGAAAACCACAAGCCTAGACAATTACTTTCCATAAAACTAAAAAGGTCACTTTATGGATTAAAACAATCTGGAAGGATGTGGTATAATCGTCTCAGTGAATACCTTGTGAGAGAAAGGTTCAAGAACAACCAAATTAGTCCTTGGGTTTTCGTAAAGCGATCACAATCAGGATTCGCTATTATTGCAATTTATGTTGATGATCTGAATATCATCGGAACCCCAAATGAACTTGAGAAAACTGCAAAATACTAGATGAAAGAATTTAAGATGAAAGACCTTGGAAAAACTAAATTTTGCCTTGGATTGCAAATTGAGCACTTGAGTCATGGTACTTTTGTCCATCAATCAAACTATACAGAAAGAGTTTTGAAAAGATTCTTCATGGACAAAGCAGCTCCAATCAACTTCCCAATGGTTGTTCGTTCTTTGAATATGAAAAACGATCCATGAAGAAAATGAAGAAATTATGGGTCTAGAAGTACCATACTTAAGTGAAATTGGGGCCTTAATGTACTTAACTAACAACACTAGACCCGATATAGCTTTCTCTGTGAACTTGTTAGCCAGGTACAACAATGCACTGACATACAGACATTGGAAGGGAGTCCGACACTTACTCCGATACCTACGAGGGACACAAGACCTTGGTTTATATTATGAACCGAAACAAGTTGCTGCTCTCATTGGGTATGCAGACGCTGTATACTTATCGGATCCTCAAAATACCAAGTCACAAAATGGATATCTGTTCACTTATGGCGGCACTGCAATATCATGGAAATCAACAAAGCAGACAGTGACTGCGACATCCTCAAATCATGCAGAGTTGATAGCCCTTTATGAAGCAGGGCGAGAATGTGTATGGCTGAGGTCGATGATTAATAATATCCAAGAAGAGTGTGGGATGAAAGCAATAACAAAAAATTCAAACACCATCTTTGAAGACAATACAACATGCATCTCTCAAGTAACTGAAGGATATATTAAGGGAGATAGGACAAACATATATCCCCAAAACTATTTTTCACACATGATCTGCAAAAGGATGAGGAAATAGATATCCAGCAAATTCAGTCTTGTGACAACCTTGCCGACCTGTTCACCAAATCACTTCCTTCCAAGAAATTTGAGCAATTAGTTCACAAAATTGGAATGCGACATCTTCGTGAACTATGTTGAAATCAGGGGGAGCATTATATACACTGCACTCTTTTTTCCTTCGATCAGGTTTTTATCCCACAAGGTTTTTCCTGACAAGGTTTTTAACGAGGTAGTATACCAAAGCATATAATACAATAATATTGTTGTACTCTTTTTCAGTTTTATCCCATAGAGTTTTACCTAGCGAGATTTTTAATGAGGCAACATATACTTTTTTTCTATATGAGTATGGGCATTCAAGGGGGAGTGTTAGAAGATAAGTCTAATAAGATGAATGCCAATTATTGATTTGATTATACAATGCACATATAGGTCCAAACACTTGTGAACTCATATGACTATATTTGAGTAATTATTGTACTCTTAGTATAACTCATGGCTATATATATAATGCCATGTAAGTGTAAAGTTACACAAGCAAGAATATAATCGTAACACTACTACAATTTCACTTCTTCCTTCATTGATTAAAAAACTTTCTGTCACTTCTTCCTTCATTGATTAAAAAACTTTCTAGTTTTAATCAGTATGTATGGTTAGAAACTTCCCTACTATTATTGATATCGTTAATATTATGTCTGCAAATCTCAAGGGACCAACATTTTTACTCTTTTGCTTCTAAATATTTGGTAAATTTAACCATTTAGTAACAAGAAGTTATAATAGATGGATCATATTTCTTAATATACGAAGACAGTGGAAAGTGAGGTGGAATATGATTTTGAAGAGAGATATATAAATGAGGTGACTTGTAATGGTTGTGAGTTACCCACCATTATGGAATTACTCATGAAACACCCCAATAATTCTCTCTTAAAAACCTGAAAATATCTTTATCAATTTGCAAGAGAATTACTGACGTGTTACCGCCACGTGTTCAAACGTTAAGGCTAGTTCAGAGTTTAGCAGCGGAAAAACTAACTCAGTTAGCCATAAGTTTCAAAACCAAATTTAGTCTTACAAGTTGGAACCATTAAGACCCTTATTCATAACCCAATAAAAGTAGTAAATAAATCAACCAGTAAATTAAATCCAAACTTATGAAATGAAATAAACTGTGGAAACATCCAACACTCCACTCAAAATCCCACCACCTTGATGCAAATTCTGATTATGTAAAAATCTGTGATTAATCTGCTCTCCAATATTACAAGTGTAAAAATTGGATCATTACAGGGTCATTGATAGGCGAAGGCCATGACCAAGGAAAAGACACACAAAAGCACGCAATCAGCAACGCTGAGTACATACAAGCTACGAAATATAACAAAGAATTCCTAGCGTACTACTAATAAGCAAACCACACACACAATTTAATTATTTACTTAA